AACAAAGACAAGAACAGAACAACCTAACAGCAGTCGGGAAGCTAGAAACTGTACTCACTTTCCTTTGAAACTAATGACAGTCAAGAGAAGGAAAAAGAGAGAAGAAAAGAAAAAGAAAGAAGAATTCCGAATTAGGGCAGGAACAGGAACAAAAAGGGAGATGAACAATGTGGGCGAGTGAGAGAGCAAGAAAGTGAGGGAAAGAGAGAAAGAAAAGTAAAAAAAGAAAAAGAAGAAACAGAAAAATCTGAAAAGAGTAGAAAAAAATAAAAATAAACAATAATTTTGAAAATAAAAAATAAAAATGAAGGGCCTCCTTCAGGGTGTGTCTCTACTGTCACCATAGACAATGTGGGCCACAGTGTGGAGATCTAAGTGATTGAGTCTCAGCAAGCCAGCAGCAGACCCCTGAGATTCAGGCTGATTTCTGGCTGCAAGGCCCAAGTTGAGCTCCCTGACCTCCTGCAGGGTTGAACTCTGCCAGGTTCTACTGCAGGTTCCAGCTGCCCTTCCCCTGAAGATAGTCCAGGTTCTGATGGGAGGCGGTGATCCCCCCACCTCACCAACTGCAGTGGTCTGGTGTGCCTTTATTTCAGAGATTCTCTTCACTTTTCCAGTGGGCTTCAGTTTTCATCAAAGAGCCTGATAGAGGCCCTCTTTGCTGTTGTTCACTTCTGCTGTATATTCTGGAGCTCAGGACAGTGGCCTTTATGACCCCCTGTGCCTCTGAGGTGTGGATCCAGGAACTGGCACGGGCTGAGGGGCTGGGGAAGGCCTTGAGTGGTGCTCCTTGCTGGGCGGCCTGGGGTGGGGCCAGTGCAGATGGTGGCAGTTACAGCCAGCTCCTCACCTGTCCACTCTTCACTCAGAGGACCAGGGTCTCCGCCATTACTTCTGTGCACAGGTTTTTAATGTCATTTGTACTGTCTCCTGCTTTTTCATTGACTGTTATCAATCATGTTATTCTTCTTTGCATGATCTAGCAGCTGTTGAATTGATTTTTCATGATCCTTTGCTATTTTTAAGAAATCTTTCTTTTCATGACAGCTAACTGCAATCTTGTCTTCTAGATCTGATATTCTTTCCTCTAATTGGCTGATTCTACTTCATATACTTCCAGTGCAACTTTTCATCTCCTGTCTGTTCAAATCTGTTTTTTGGATTCTATTTCCTATATTGGGCCTTCATGGTTTCCATAGTTTTCCTAAGCCTCTTTATTTTTTTATCTGTATCTGATCTAGAGTCACTAACCATGTCTTGCATTTTGGTCACCATCTCTGATTATTTCTGATTTGATTTTTTTCTAAAGCCTTGTTTATCTGCTTTCTTACTTCTGCAGTTAGCATTTCAGAGTCCAGGTGGGTGGCTTTCAGAGTGTTTCACCTCATTGTCCTGTGGGTTGGCCTTTGGTAAGCTGAAAGTCTAGCTTTGCATCTTAAGTGTATTGTGATTTCTATTTTTTTTGTTTACTTCCTGGGTTGATGCTCATAAATTGCTTATAGCAGGTAGCTTTATTGCTAGTATTTCAACCATTAGGAAATGACTACTTCTCAGAGATGTTTTCTAGGTGTAGCTGACTTTTGAGTTTTGAGTCTCTTGCAAGATCCTACCTCTTCAATTTATTGGGGATAAGAAGTTGCTGCCTGTTTGGCCTAGCCCCTGGTTCTTTGGCACTGCCCTGTAGTATTTATGACCCTTAGGCAATCTTAGTCTTGGCATACCAGGAAGAAAAACTGATTAGGACAATTATGTCACCTTTGGAAAGTAGTACAATCAACAATTACAATAACCTCACACACAACCTAGAAAATAACAGTGTGTTAACTAGTAATTTGTCATCTTTAATCATGTGAACTATGTGGTTATATGACAAAATGTAAAGCAAACCAGAAAATTATGTCCAGTAAATATGGCCTCAGTATGGTGATTTTACCTTCAGGGGAGAAAACTTAAAAGGGGTTGGAAAGAAAAAAAAAAAAAAAGAATAAACATGGGCCAGAGATTTAGCTCAGTGGTTCCGCCACCTGCCTCACAAGCACAAGGTCCCAAGTTCAATCCCCAGTACCCCAAAAAAGGGGTTGGGAGGAAAAATAGAGAAACAGGAGGGGGAAAGATGAGAAGCAGGCTGGAAGACAAAGCAAGATTGGGCAACTTTGAGAAAATGGTGAAGAGGACAGGAGGGAGAGAGAAGGAAGAAAATAGAAGAAGAAACAAAAACGAGAACAGAACAACAAAAAGACTAGAAACAGTGTCCACACTTGCATAAAAACAAGAACAGTGGGAAAAAAACCAAGAAAAAACAAAACAAAAACACAAGAAAAAAAAGGAAGAACAAACTGTTCACTTCATGGTGTGCCTCTGCTGTCACTAGCAGACAGGTTGTGCAGACAGAGTCCAGAACCAAGTTATGCTCAGCAAGCCAGCCATAGATTTATGGTGGGGTAACTTTAGTTCCTGTGAAGTTCAGGCTGGCTTCTAGCTGTGAGGCCTGAACCCAGTTTGTTCATCCTGTAATACTCTGTGTGCCTCTTGCCAATTTGAACTCAGTTTGCTTTACCCTGATGGAGCCAGTCCACAGCTGCTCGGAGTCCTGAGCTCAGTTGGTCCTTCTCCAAGATGGCAACCAGCCAATCACCCTCTCCTGGGGGTGCATCTGAATGGGAACAACTCACCAGCCGCTGCAGTTTGCAGTGTTCACTGCTTTGTTCCACTGTGTGTTTCTCTGTGGAGTCCTCTAAGGTTGCCAGTAGTCAACCATTTTTTTTACAGGTTTGGGCTCCCCCTCCCACATAGTGAGTCCGGGCTCAGGAAGAAAGCGCAGCTTGCTACCTCCTTCTACACTGAAGTCCCTCTCTCCCTGTGGGCTTCAGTTCTTACTTCTGATACTTGCTGGGTGCTGGGGACCCACTTCCCTTCTTCTCTTCCTCATGTTACTATATTCCAGTCTCTGGACACCAAATCTCGGAGAGGCTGTTTCTCTGTTGTTCACTTTGCCATTTTCCTAGAAGTCTCTTTCACTGTTTAAAGCAGTGACCAAATTACCAAATCTGCTTTGTTGTTGTTGTTTTTTGAGACAGGGTATCACTGTGTAATTCAGGATGGTGTTGAACTCACTGTGTATTCCAGGCTGGCCTCAACTCCAGCAGTCTTCTGCTTCAGCTTTCCAAATCCTGGGATTATAGGCATGTACTACCAAACCCAGCCCAATCACCAAATCTGATGCCTGGTTTGGTACTTTACTTGTTGATGGCATTTACATTTGCTAGTTCAATCAGTGAATGAATTGCGTGGTCTTTTTAGTGTACTACAACTTTATTACAATTTTAGTGCTACTATTATAATCTTTTATTTCAACTCCCTTTTCTTGCAGAACTCTTAATTTTTTGCTATTTTTCTACTTCTCTGACCTATTTCATTTTGATTTCCTTTCCACTAACATGTGAATAACCTAAGGGTTATTCTGGTATCTGTCTTTTATAAGTCTATATGCTATTGGATGATCAGTCAGAACCCCTGTCCTGTGTTCTGACCACATTCTCAACCATTTGTAGATCCAGACCTTCTATATTTATCACAGGTATACTAGAAATTTAACATATTTAAAGCCATAGTTTTTTATTATGCATCTTTCAAAATGGCTACATGTAGCAACCGCAGTGTTGACAATAGGAAGTGGAGACAAGATGCTAAACAACTGGAACCATTGTATGGTATTAATTTGATTGCAAGATGGAACTGTAACTTTAGAAAGCAATTTGACAGTTTCTCATAATGTGAACACACACTTGCCATTTTATCCTTTAACTCTACTTCTAGATATTTACCTGAAAGAAATTTAGAAATACTTAATGTTTATATAAGCACTTATGAATATTTATAGCAAGTTCATTCATAACCATCTTAAACTGAAAACCACTGAAATTGTCTTCAGATGGTAAATGGTAAATGAGTAAATGCCATTGGAATACTAAGCAATAAAAGACAAATGATAGGTGTCAACAACATGGGTGGCTTTCGAATACTATACTGAATAAAAGAAGTCAGACTCAAGAGACCACATGCTATATGATTGCATTTGTATGGCATTCAGGAAAGGGCAGAACTATATGGCTAGAAAACAAGTCAGTGACATGAAGCACAGAGATGGGATAGGGAGAAGGCCAGTTGGAACAACATGATTATCTTTTCTTTTTTTTTTTTTTTTTGAGACAAGGTCTCACTGTATAGTTTAGGTTGGCCTTGAGCTCATTATATGTGCCAGGCTAGCCTTGAACTTGATGCGATCCTCCTGCTTTAGCCTCCTGAGTGCTGGGAATACAAGTGTACACCACCATGCCTGGCAATATGATGGTTTTTTGAGGGTAGAGGAACTGTTCTAACTTGACTAATGGTTTTAAAGCCTGCACATGTGTTATGTTCATAGACTTGTGTGCTGAGTGATTTTTACTGTAGATAAATTAAAAAATAAAATACCCGAATTCATTATTAATCTTGATAAGGAGAGAAGAAGGTACCCATTATATATAAGATGTGTTTTGTTTGTGTAATCAGTGAGCCTGAATTTAGTTTTCATAGAGCAGTGGTGGCAAACCTATGGCACACATGCCACAGCCTGCTGTTTGTTACCACTGAAAGCTCTAAAAGACTATCACTGCCCTAAAGTAAGCTTCTTACTTGGTTTTGAGAGTTATCCAGGTCTGTTTTCTGCTCTTCTTCTTTAAGAGTCAATGGCGAGTCCAGGGAAAGATAACTACAGAATGAAAAGTTATAAGAATAAAGCCCTAAATCCTCAAGAGATGCGTAGAAGGAGAGAAGAAGAAGGAATACAGCTTCGAAAACAAAAAAGGGAAGAACAGGTAGGATTTTAAAGTATTTCATTTTATTTGATAGAAAAGTGATGTGAATTCATGAATCAAACTCCTATGCTATTGGTTTTTTTTAATACCAGAGTTCAAACTCAGGACCTTGTACTTGTGAGGCAGGTACAGTGCCACTGAGCTAAATATCCCTGGCTCCTATGCTATTTTTAGCCACTGAGAGGAATGACATTTCTGTTTTGATAAACTTATATTTCTGGCCCACTGATAAGAAATTTTTATTCTTGACTCGTTTAGATCATTTCCATCTGTCATTGTAGAAGTTGCCTCCACCCCCTCAAAACCCATGAATTGTGTTTATTGTTTTGGGGTGTTTATAGCTCTTTAAATTTATTATAGTTGTCTGCCCTTGTTAGTCATTCTCTTTTTCCAATTGTCACATCAGCAAGATCTCTTCGACTTCTCTGTTTATATTTTACACATGTAACACAAAGAATAGAAATCATTTAGGAGTGACCATCTCAACATTTTATTTCAAGATATCTGTAAATTTAGAAAAACTTACAAACAAATGATAGTTACAAATAACATTTACAAGTAAAACTGATGTATGAAAAGGACTAGTGAAGAAAGTGGGAAAAGCCCCCTTTACAAATATTGTTATTAGCCGAGAGTGGTGGATCATGCCTATAATACCAGTACTCAGGAGGCTGAGGCAGGAGGATCACAGGAAGTTTGAGGCCAGCTTGGGTTAACAAAGTGAGTTCAAGGTCAGCTTGAACATATAATGAGACCCTGTCTCAAAAAAAAAGAAATATCAGAAATAATCACTATGATTTGTCAGCTGCCTATCCATAGTATTGTGCAGTCCTTAATGTGTTACACTAAACGGTCAAAAAACCCCCCCAAAAACCCAAAACTCTGTTGATGAAAAAGTATGTATAGATTGAAGAAGAGCAGTATTTAGCTAGCAAAAAGAAAGTAATTTTTCTCCTCATTTCTGATCTAGGAAATATTCCTGTAAATCTTCTTCAGTGACTTCATGTCTCTTTTGTCCTTGTCTTTTTTTCTCCTATCTATTCCAGGATAAAAATAAGCATGGGGTTGTTTTTCCTGAGTCCTTGTTAGTTGGATATACTAATTGTTAATATACAATGTGTTATTTCTTCTATGAAACAACTTTGCTTCCTAATTAAGACTTTCTTGGAAAATTCTTAGACATTCTTGTAATGTGGGAATATATGCATTTTTAAGTGCTATAAAATGTAAATATGTGCTTTTAACATCTAAATTATGAAGTTATTTGCTGTGTTCACTCGAATGAAAAGTGTAACTCTGTGACAATTGAATGTTTTGTGGAAAACTGAAAGTATAAAGCAATTTTTCTTTATTGTAGTTGTTCAAACGAAGAAATGTCTCTTTGCCCAGAAATGATGATTCTATGTTAGAAAGTCCTATCCAGGATCCAGATATTAGTTCCTCCGTACCCATTCCAGAGGTATGTTTTAAAAAAATGTCAGAGACAGTGTTTACAGCAAATGTTATTCATACAAGACATTAAATGTTAATTTTATTTTCTTTTGTGCCTTTCAGGAAGACGTTATTACCAAAGATATGGTTCAGATGATTTTTTCTAATAATGCCGAACAACAATTAATGGCAACACAGAAATTTAGAAAGCTCCTTTCTAAAGGCAAGAATTCTTTTCAGTATGCCTACTTGATATTACAGGATTTTGTAGTAGAACTTAATTTAATTAGACTTTAAAAAAATTGTAATATAACTTTCTTTGCCAGACACAGTAGATTTTAGTTTCTTTTTAAAATATATACAGAGTTGGGTGTGATGGTGTATGCCCGTATTCCCAGCACTCAGGAGGCTGAAGTAGGAGGATTGTTGTAACTTCAAGGCCAACCGGAGCTATATAGTGCGTTGAAGGCCAGCCTGAACTACATAGCAATACTTCCTCTCAAAAAACAAATAATGTATATATATCAGAGACAATAAACTTGATTTACACTCTCATCTACAGTTTGTACAGATATTTATTTTACTGTATTTTTATTGTCACAATTAATTTTTTAAAATACAAATGCTTATATAATCATCTTTTGGTCTTTTTTTCTTAATTAGGTCAAATATTTCTCCTTATTTAATTGACCTTACATAATTCACAATTATTTATTATGTTATTTGTCCAATTTTATTATTTTGATCCAATAAGAATCATTAAAATTAAAGCTTTAGTCTGTCTTTATTTTCATATATGGAATTTATAGAACTTGTAATTATATGAAATTACGTATACGAACTTATAAGATTTTGAAAATGCCTTGTCTTCCTAAGACACAGAATTTAGTAACACAGGAAGAATGAAAGAAATCTTATAGTCAGGTCCTCATAGATTCTAAGGCTTTTCACTTCTGCTTTTTTACAAATACGTGTTCATAAACGCATTTAATTCTTGTTTTCCATTTTTCATCCCAAGACAAAGTAGTTTAGCAATGTTAAGAAATCATTATACAGTAACGTCATGTTCTTTTCCACCCTATATTTCAGGGTTTGTTGTTTTGGTAACTGAAGTTACTTTGATTAGATTAATATTTTTATGTTGTTTTTTATATTACCATGTTCTTCAAGTTTTTTTGACATGTGCTTGATGCCATAAATGATTAACAGAATTTCTAGAGATATTATTATGTTTAAGAGTTTGCTACCCGTATTTTTATAGCAAAAATTCACCATTATTGAAATCTCTGTTTTAATTCATTAAGGTCTACCTCAAAGAATTTTTTCTTTTCTTCATATTCTTCGCTTCCTTGAAAGTTCCATTGGCACAATTCCTTTTAAGTCTTTACTTATCTAAATGTTGTAGGTTTATGAGCAAATTGTCTGGATTTTGAATTCTTTGGTCAGAAGATTTTATCTTTATTTTCTCTAGTTACTCAGAATATTCTGTTTCTGTTAAAGTATATTGTTTTTTCATAGAGACCGTCATTGTTCTCTGTTTCTTCTTGAAGTGGGATTTTGCTTGGGCATACATGAGGAAATACAGATTTTTTGGTTTTTACTAATTGACCTAATTCCTGCCAGATCTATCAGTCTTAGAAAAAAATTAGAATTACTGGAGTTTTACTTCATCTGTTAATGTAGTAAGCATAGGAAGGCAGCTAAAACAAGAACTGAAAGCTAAACCAGTAGGAAACTGCCTGTTTTGGAAGCATTTCTTTATTGTAGATAGAGTTGTTACTGTTGGCACTAGGGAGATAGAGCTATGCCCTGGTGACTCCACAGCCAACACTCAGCTTCGCCTTCTTTCCTCTGATCTAAGTCGGGATCGTGACCTTCACCATCCTTTCACCAAGATTTGTCTGCCCCTGTCATGGCTGTTCTTGTGGATGTAAATCGCAACAGTCAAATTTTTTGTTGTTGTTCAATCCTAGTTTTGTAGAAATTCCTGCAGAACTTTTTTGTTTTATATTACTCTTGGTAATTTTCTTTCCTTTCTTTAGTTTTTTAAATTTAAGAAATTTTAATGAGGATGTATTTCTAGCACATAATGATTGCATTCATCGTGGAGGATTGGTACAGATACATAATACATCTTAATTCTTTTCTCTTCCTCTCTCCATCCTCTTGCTTAATTTTCCGTGCTCAAGTAAATACTGCTGTATTGCTTCTTTACATTGCCATAATGACTGAAAGACTTTATAATGATTAATCACTTTTATAAGATTATATAGACCAGTGGTGGCGAACTGATGGCAGGAGTGTTAGTATGTTTTCCTTTTAAGACAAAAGATGTTAATGTAGATTTGTTTTTTCTAAACGAAAACCTCAGTGTTCTGGTTAATTGCAGCGTTGGCACTTTGCAATAAATAAGTGGGTTTTGGGTTATAGTTTGGCCCTCGGTCTCTAAAAGGTTTGCCGTCACTAATATAGGCTATTATTTTGTCAGTATAGTACTAGTAAAAGTTCATGATACATAGATTAGCTGGTGAGCTTGCTTTCTTTTCAGTGGTGATAACCATAAATGTGCTTCTTGTAATTCTCCAGGAAGAGACTGTATTTAGGTTCTCAACTCTATATATGTCATATCTGTATCTGAATCAGCTACATAGCTGATAGTCCAATGTCAGCTCTTCACATTCCTCTATACAGAACCTTACCGTTTCTTCTTCTAATCTCATCTCCTACTCAAAAAGAGCACAATTTTCTTTAGGAAAGAGAAAAATCAAGAATGGCAGCTAAAACCCTATAGTTTTGGTTTGAGATTTTTTTTAAAAGGGGGAGGGTAAATGGTTTAAGAATATTATGTATTGTTTCATCCTTTCAGGTAGGGTCTGGAATTAACATTTTGAAGAATTTGGACTTTTTTATTTAGAGCATCTAAACCAAATTAATGGATATAGCTTTATTAACTTTACAGAATTCAGAAGTAAAAACGAGAGTTCTCTTTTTTGTGACTAGATGGACAGATAACTTATTGCTTAGAGGATGTAGGACCAGGAAAAAAAAAAGTAAGCATCATGGTATGAGTTTGATTTTGCTTATGGTACATTTTAAAGAATGTATGAAAACAAAAATGAGTCGCATAGGCACTTAGAGATATCGTCTGGAATCTGGAAAAATTCAGGTAAGGGAGTTTGAATTAACATAAATGATAATAAGTGACAAGTGAATTAACAAAATAGATAAATTTTCTAGGAAGAAAATAAATAGGAATAAGACTTACCCAAAGGAACACCAACAGAAGTACTGAAGAAACACAAAGGGTACTTTTTATTGAAGCCAAGGCAGAGAAGAGATTTCTTTGTACTTAATTTGGTCAATATCTGAAATATCTTTTAACTTTACTTGCATTTCCTAGGAGTTTGTGATCTCAGAAACCTACATTCATAAAAATTTATCAAGAAATTTAGATTTTCCAATAGCATTTGTGTAAATAATAAATAATATCCAGACAAAATAGAATCCCATCTGGCTGAGACATTAAACAAGTCATTTTACTGAAGGGGGTATCCTTGGGTACCAAAGATGGCACTATAAAGAATTACTGGGACTCCTATCCCTCAGATGCTATTTTGAGTATTGGACCGAAATATTCCTATGTATAAAGATGACCTCTTAAGTAGACTTCAACTTATGAAATTTAAACTTTTAGGAAATATGTATTTTAAATTTCCAAATATATGGGAAATACACATTTAAATATCCTGTCATTATGGTTAATAAAAGAATTTGCAAAAATACTGCAGTTATAAGAGCATTTGTCCTCAGTTACATCCAGCTCAGAGTTTTAAATTTAGATCTGTGAAACCCAGGAGAGTTATTTTTTGTATTATTAACTGAAATATGGGCCAGATCCAAGCCTTTTTGTGTTAAAGTAATAATTTCTTTTTTATTTTTAGAACCTAATCCACCAATAGATCAAGTTATACAGAAACCAGGAGTTGTACAGAGATTTGTGAAATTTCTTGAAAGAAATGAGAATTGTACTTTACAAGTGAGTCTAACATTTTCTTTTTTAATCTGTTTTAGAGAAAGGACATACTGAAGTTTCTAGTGAAAAGTTTCTTCAGTAATGACTGTGTTGCAAGCGTTCAGTAAATACTTATCAATTAAAGGAAAAGATAGGGTTACCTGTCTTGCCCTGGGTATGGTTACAGTGCTGATTTCTTCTAGAAATTGTTATTTTGTTAAATAATTTGAAAAAAGTCCATGAAACCATTGTTAATGTTAATAAAAAATTTTATGAGCTGGGGATATAGCTCAGTGGCACCGCACCTGCCTGGCAAGCTCAAAGTCCTCATTTTGATCTCTGGTACCAGAATAAAAAAACAACCCTAAAATTTTATGGTTGTCAATCTTCAATAAAAACCTTTGTTTTAGAAAACTTCAAAATGAAATGTTATCTTAATGGTTAAATTTATTTCGGCTGTTAGCAAACTAGAGTCATAACTTTTACCTTTAAAACACATTGCTAAGCCAGGCGTGGTAACACATGCTTATAATTGCAGCACTGGGGAGTCTGGGGCAGGAGAATTGCTCTGAGTTCAAGGCCAGCCTGAACTGTATATAGCGAGACTCTGTCTCAAAAAACCAAAAATAAACAACATTGCTAGCCATTTGATTAGTTCTTTTTAGAGAAAAGAATAAATTAGTGTAATTAAAAATGTGACCAAAATCAGATTTGTCCTAAAGAACATTATTTCTCAGTCATAACTAATTTGCTGCTAATGGCAAATTACTGAAGTTTGTATGTATTTTAATGTTAAAACAGTAGCAGAATAGAAAGTTATCCTTCCTGACTTTGTATGTATTTTTTCTTTTTTCTAGCAGTGCTGGGGATCAAACTCAGAGCCTTGCACATGCCTGACAGTCACTTTACTCTGACCTACATCCCTAACCCTGCTGTGTCTATTCTTAAGTAAGAGCACAGGGTGGATTATGTCTTATGTTTCAGGAAATGCAGAGGACCTATGTCTGATTATCAGTGCTGTTGTCAGTAATTCAAAGCACTTACTTGAGTAACAGTTGAATTTGCAACTTAAGTAGTTGTCCGCTTCTCTGAATGATTTGGGAAGGACTCTCACATTTTAAGTATAAGCAAAGAAGTTTTGTGTAAATGTGAAAAATTGTTGAGAATGTTTACAATAAGGATCTCAGAGGAAAAGGCTGAATTTTTCAGATTATGCTATACTGTCATTTCTTTTGGTTAGAGATCCTGGGATCTGGTCCTTTTGCTTTATCTAAGCTCTGAGCCTAGACTAAAACCCAGGTTTCCTGATATCTTGTTTATTATTTGGCTCTTTAATATGAAGTGAATGGAAGAAGAAACAAGTGAATATGAATATATAAAACCAGCGAGTGCTGGGTTTGAGCCCAGTATTATGTGAGGCATTGTAGTTCCAAAATTAAGACATTGTTCTTATCTACAGAACTTCTGTACTTCTGTTGCAGAAGGCAGACGTATAAACAGATCTGTAATAACATGTATGCTTAGTGCTGTAACAGAACTGTAAACAAAGTGCTGAGGGAACACAGAGGTTGTAGCAACTTATTCTGTGTGGAGAAAATTAAGAAAGACTTCACAAGGGTGGTCCTGAGTATGAAGGAGAGTTTGGCAGACTAAAAGGAGGAAAATGAATTTCAGGTTAAAAAGACAAAATGTATAGAGGGCATGACATGTGCGTGAATGTTGGAAATTTCAGCACTTATTAATCGTTATAATTAAAACAAATTCAGCAGTGTGGGGTAGCTCCATGCTGTGTCTAACTAACTAATAGGGATGCCTCAGACAGGGTGGGGGCCACCAGGCCAGACTGATGGACAAACGAGTTTTATTTGGCTTGCACACACATTTCACACTGGATCTTAGCCAAAAGGCCAAGAAGTGATGCACATGTTTTAAAGCATACTGAGGTGCTATCAGACTTTTAAAACTTGGGGAATTTCAAGTGAATATCCATTTTTTTCAACTTATTTGAACAGATCAGAAGAGATAGCATTAATCCCATATAGTAAAGATGAAATAGACCTTCATAGGAGTTCTGTGGGTTTTTTCCCCCCTCTAATGCTGGGAAATGAACCCAGGGCCATAAGCATACTAGGCAAATACTTTACTGCTCAGCTACATATCTAGGCCTTTTCTTTCCTTTTTAAAATTATAGCCTGCATTCTGATTTTTCACAGTTTTGATAGGTGTGAGAGTCTTCACCAATGCTTGTGCCTAGGAGTACAAGGAGAATTTTGCAGAGTAATCTTTTGTTGTCTTTTGTTTTATTTATAATTGGTTAGGATTATGGTCTTCTAAATTTGTCTTTTTTCTTTCCTCTTCTTCTTTTAGCATGGCTGAGGTTTATTCCCAGGGCCTTGTACATGCTAGGCAAATACTTACACCCCCAGCCCTCATTGATTTTTTTTTTTCTGTACCAGGGATGGAACTCAGGTCCTTGCGTTTGCGCAGCAGGCGGCGAAACCACTGAGCTAATTCTTCCCCTAAAATTTTTCTTAGTCTCACACATAATAGTAAATATACTTTTTAGTATTTTAGTAGTGATTTTTGGTATAGTTTTTGTTAATTTATAATGACATCTACATTAACATGAAAACTATTTATGCAAACTATAGTCCCTATTTAGTTTATGAATTTATACGTTGCTTTTTATGTTTTGCTGCCTTACTGTTTGAAAGCTATTAAAATCCATCATATTTAATGGATTTAATTCTAATTGGATTGATACAAGTAATTGCTCAAAGGCTCTGATGCTTAAAAGAATAGCAGGAATCTTACTCCTGGTTCTGGTAATAGTAAAATCTTTACGTTGAACAAACATCTAAATCTCTGAACTTCTAATTTTCTTGTTTCTTAAATGGGGAGGTTGGTGCTAGTTGATCACTAGGGAAACAAGTACTTTTTAGGGTTCTGTTGCCCTATTAAGTAGTGTCTCATTTTTGAACTGTTTGCTTTAAAACACCAACTCTCTACTAGTAAACATTAGGAATTTTATGAATTGTAAAACAGTGTGTATTTGTATACAGTATTGTTGATTTTGTAAATTTCCATTTTCCTTCTCAGTTCTTGTTTTTCAGATTGAAGAATAGGCTTTTTTATTAGTAAGGATTTTCATCCGCGAAATCTGTTCTGACAGTGAATCTTATTAGTCAGTCTTTCCTCTCAGACTTGTCCAGCTAAGTCTTAAACATCCCTCTCTTACTTCCTTCTCCTTCTTGACATTTCTTTTATGCTTTCATTTGTTTTGCTTTCTCCCCCTTAGTTTGAAGCTGCGTGGGCATTAACTAACATCGCATCTGGAACTTTTCTGCATACCAAGGCGGTGATCGAAACTGGAGCAGTTCCACTTTTTATCAAACTCCTTGATTCAAAACATGAAGATGTTCAAGAGCAGGCAAGTTTCTAATTTGTCCTGATATATATGCAGTTAGAGAGAGAGATTTTAATTTTCTCATGAGAATTGCCATTTAGGATGATTATTTATCATTCATTTTTGTAGCTAATTTACCTGTACATCGTATTTGTTAATGTAATCATCAAATTTAAAAACATGGAAGAGTGAATTGTCTCAGTCAGAATCTTGTGTTCTTTAGAAGTGTAATGTCAGCTAGCGTAGGAGTCACCATTCCTACTTAAAAAAGAGCCTGCTGAGACACAGAAAAATTACTACCTGAGGGCCGGGGACTTAGCTCAGTGGTTCATGCTCCTGCCTCGCAAGCACAAGGTCCTGAATTCGATCCCCAGTGCCAAAAAAAAAAAAAAAAATTACTACCTGACCAAAGGTTACAGTGAATGGATGGCAGGTTTTAAATCTGAGCCACTCTGAGTCCTTATTCTCCTCAGGTAAGTAAATTATTTTAATATTACTTCACATTACCTTAAGTAGGGCCATTTTAAAATATGCTTTGTGAATCAATTTTCAAAGTTTTCTTGTTAGAGGGAAAATTGTTCACATACATATGTACCATCCAAAGAAAATCAAGAATTTTGCTATTTTAATTTTGCATCATCTTGTATGCACACTGAACAGCTACCATTTCATTCACCACTGAATTTTATGCCTTTTTTTATATCCATTTAACACTAATTGAGAACTTTTCCTTTTTAGACACAGGGTTTTACTGTGTGGTTCAGGCTGGCCTTGAACTCACTAGGTAGCCCAGGCTGGCCTCAAACTCATGGCAATTCTCCTGCCTCAGCCTCTCAAATACTGGGATTACAGGCATGTGCTACCATGCCCAGCAGGGAACTTTTTCTTACGGCATTAATTATTCCTCCAAGAAAATTTCACTGATTACTCAGTATATACCAGTGTATTTTCCATAACTTATTATCTATTCTTGGATTTTTATACCTTTGAATTATTTCTAGCTTATTAGCATTAATACTAGGATGAATATCAGTATATTAGGTTGCTTGATTATTTTATTAAGGAAAATGACTATCCATTATGAAAAATTATTCTTTCATAGGGCGGCTTTTATATTTTCTTTATTAATATCTCCTTGTGTGTTATATTAAAATATATTAAAATTTTAGAAAGTCAGTGCACTGCAAAAACGTGAGTAAAAAACAAAAAAATAGAAAGTTTTAAAGTATTAAATATTTCAAGACTGAATTACAAAAAGATTTGAGCAATAACATCTCTACCAACAGAATATATTTAGAGTTTTTTTCTTAAAAGTTTACATACAGAGTAGAGGTTGAAAATATTAACCCTTTTTTTTTTTGGTACCGGGGATTGAACTTGGGACCTTGCACTTCCAAGGCAGGTGCTGGAACCACTGAGCTAAATCCCCGGCTAACCCATGTTTTAAATGGTAAAATTTTCCCAACTGGAAAACTATACCTGTACTTTTGTACTTAATGTGAAAATCTGGAGTGAGAATATATTAAAATGATAATTTGCATTTGCATTTCTCATAAAGTGAATAATTTAATGCTTACTATTTTAAAAAATATAGTTAACTAATTAATCAAACTATTCTAATTCTCATTTTTAGCCATAACTATTTTAAAGCTTTTTCTTTCTCTCTTATTTTAAAAAATCAGTGCATTCCCAGTTAGAGGATTTCTTGGCATAGGAAGTGACCTTTATTAAAAAGAATTAGAAAATTTGCTAGATAGATGTATTTTGTCTCCATGTAGACTCAGAGTGAACACATTCTGCTCTTTGTTGAGTAGAATACAGACATTTTCCTCTCTATATAATTATATATATGTAATATATGTGGAAACAATTATAAGTACCCTTGTTTTTAACTTTGTTTTGAAGTCAGGTTTTCCTTTTAGAGGCTTTTCTTTCTTACTGCCTTACTTTCTTTCACATGCTGAAAACCTGTTCATTCTGCATAAAAATCCCTCACTGCCGCCCCGCGGTGGCCAGAATCTTCCCACCTTCCTTGCCTCCCCCTCTGGAGGAGCTAGGGCTGTATGCACATGCCACCATGCTCAACTTTGTTAAAACTTCAACTTTAAGAGAGAGCATCTTATTTAAGATACTGTTTTAAGAGAATTTTTTTCTTATGTTTTTAAAGGCTGTTTGGGCACTTGGTAATATTGCTGGGGACAATGCAGAATGCAGAGATTTTGTTTTGAATTGTGAAATACTTCCACCTCTTTTAGAGTAAGTACATTGTTTAAATATGTCTCAAGTTAATGCTACTTTTGGAAAAAGTGTACTATGTGTCTACATACAATTAAGTTCTTCAGTAGTGTTTTATAATTTTGCCTCTGATTAGTTATGCCTACAGCAGTTTGTAAGTAGGTAAAACCAGGAAGAGTTTTCAAATTATATTCTTTTAAACCAAACTTAACAGTGGTCATTGCTTACTTTGCTAACATAAATATTCTATAAACAGAAGTATGTATTAGTTTATAATATAGTAAAATTTAAATGTTCCTATAGCATGGAGTTTTTAATGCTGAAACTTACGATGTACTTAGGATGTCATTTGGTTTTTATATTTGATTTTTTTTTTTTCTTTTGTTATGGGGGATCAAACTTGGTTCCTTGCGCTTGCAAGGCAGGCATCGGAACCACTGTGGTAAATCCTTGGCCCTGTTTGTTTTGTTTTTTGAGATAGGGTCTTTCTTTGTAGTTTAGGCTGGCAATGAACTCACTATGCAGCCTGGGCTGGCCTCTAACTTGCAGCGATCCTCCTGCCTCTGCCTCCAGAGTGCTGAGATTATAGGCGTGTGCCACCAAGCCGGGCTTTATATTTGATTTATTTGTTTTTATACCGGAATCGAACTCTGGACCTCTTGTGCTTGCGAGGCAGAAGGTGAAACCACTGAGCTAAATCCCCAGCCCTCTGTATTTGATTTTTGAATGTCCAGAGAATAAAGATCATAAGAGATTTTTCTTTTTCATCTAGTGGTTTCTTAACTACTTTATGCATTTTTTAGAAAGAAATTACCTATAATGTAGGGTCCTTTGCTGACATTACATAAATTATTTAAAGCATAGATTTCTTTATGTTGTTTATCATAAAAAGGCTAAATATCAATGGCAAGTAGTGAGGAAACAAAAACAAGTGAGAGAGTTAGAAGGAAAAATTTTAACTCTTTATCATTTCTGTGCTATTCTCCATCCTCTCCAGCTGAGGGATTACTGTCTATGGACAGAAGTGATTACTCAGTGACTGCCTGCAACTAACATTAATTGCAGACCAATATCTTGTAGACCATTGATCCACTCACATCAGTTTCATTACTATGAACTGTCCAATGTTCCATAGTCTATGAGAATTTAGCTGAGCTTGAGAAGAAAATACTGATTTTAAGTTTAATGTCAGGGTATTTTTTGAAGTCTGCACTATTAACAGTATCACTTAAAGTTTCAGTAAGACATTTTGGTGACTATATTATACGATTTGTAGATTAATGGAGTATTTGTTTCTCATTTTACTTTCCGTTGGTTTTTTTTCTAGGTCATTTTATTATTAATACCTCAAGTTGGGCTTATGAAATAATAAGCATCTATTTGTCTCATCCTTTTAAATGTCCTAAGGAGCTATTAAATCATGATTGAAGAAACAAACTAATGGAGAATAAATAGCACCTAGCTGTGTAGTACTATATGTAAACAATGAATTTTAGAAAAAAAGTGTTAGAAAGTTGGAAAGTTTTAGAGTTTCATTATAAAATTTGATCTTAGAAAATTTCAAAATTTCATCAAAAAATTTGAGAAATGTAGTTATTAGCTTGAAATGATTATTATCTGTCATTCATATTGAAATTTACACTTAGTTAATGTTGATCAGTTCTATTTGAAGTTTTACTTTATTGTAGATCCTTTGATTCTCGGTAAATATAAATCTGTTACTACTGTGGACTACATAATTTCATGACTTTGTTGTATCAACTTATTTATTTTTTGGGCGAGGACTCATTGTGTACCCCAGGGTGGCCTTGAACTTATGGTCTCCCCCCTCAGACTCCCTAGTCCTGGGATTACAGGCATGCACCGCAGCTACTAGCTGGGAGTTTAAATTTCATTCAACTTGGGCCGGGGATTTAGCTCAGTGGTTCCATGGCCTGCCTCACAAGTGCAAGGACCTGAGTTCAATCCCCAGTACCAAAAAAAAAAAAAAATTTTCATTCAACTTTTAATTTGTGAGAAAGGAGTTTTACTTCCTTATAATAATCCATTAATATAGAAAAAGAAAAGTATGCAGTAGGGGTTGCCAACCTAGGCCCTCAAGCCAACTCTGGCTTGCTATCTGATTTTATAAATTAACTTTTATTAGAACACAGTAATACTCATTCACTTAGTTAATGAACTTTAGTTGCTTTCATGCTCTGTCCGTAAAATTAAGTGACTGCAGAAAAAAAGCCTAAAATATTTACTGAAATAAGTATCAGCCCCGATAGTCAATATTATATAACTGTTTGGTTTCTAAATGAAATATATATTTTAGGAGGCTTTAAATCTATAGGAAAATTTGTAGAACAGATTTGTGTCTGGCTTCTTAGCATGTTTTCAAAATTCATCTATATTGTTGCATGTATCAAAACTTCATTCTTTTTGTACCTGAATAATACTCCATTTCTGCAAAAAAGCCATTGCCTTTTTAAATCTGTAGATTGCTTTGTGGAGTAATGCCATTTTTATTTTTTAATTTTTATTTATTTATTTATTTTTATACCGGGGATCGACTCAGAACCTTGCGCTTACAAGGCAGGCACAGCACCACTGCGCTAAGTCCCCAGCCCAGGGTATCTTTCAGTTTATTTAGATCTTTAATTTTAGCAGTATTTTGCAGTTTACACTATACAAGTCTCCTTGGTTAAATTTATTCCACAGTACTGATAGTCCCTAATTTGTGATGGCTCAACATATGATTTTTTTACCCTTTTTCTTTGGTAAAACAGTGAATTGCATTTAATGGAAATTATACTTTGAATTTTGATGTTTTCGTAGACTCGCGATATGTGTGTTATGATGCTGTCTCATGATTCTGGGCAGCAGCAATGACTAGCAGCTCCCAGTTAGCCCTAAGGTTGTGAGGATATACAGCCAGTCCTGCACAATGTATGGTGCTGCTAAGCTGTGGTGTGTAATAGGTGTCAGCTTTCTATCCCTGCGGAAAAGACCTGATATAAACCATCTTATAAGGAAAAAGGGTTTATTCTGGCTTGTGGTTTCAGAGGTTTCACTCCATGTTGCTTGGCCCTGTTGCTTTTGCCCTGTGGGAAGGCAGAATATCATGGTGTAGAGCATGTGGGAGCAAAGCTGCCTACTACATGGCAGCCAGGAAGCAAAATGAGCAAGAAAAAGGGCTAGGGTCCCAGTATCCCCTTTGAGAGTGTGCTTACCATGATTTAACTTCCTTCCCATGGGCCATGCCTCCCGAAGGACCCACTACGTTCCAGTAATGCCGCAAGCTGGCAAACAGGCCTTTAACAGGAAGGAGCCTTTGGTGGACCTTTAAGATCCAGATCTTAACAGTGGGTTAGGAATATTGCATACATCTTCACCCACCGTACAGTATTTTCAGTTTGTGGTGGATACCCTAGTCATAAGTTGAAGAGTAGCTGTATTTTTATGCTGTTGTAAGTAAAATTATTTTCTTGATTGTTTTCGATTTATTCATTGGAAATGTATAAAAAATAGAGTTAATTTTTGGTATTGATCTTGTGCCCTGAAATTTGCCTGAATGTACCCACTAGCACTAATAGGTTTGTGTATGTGTGTGTATATGGGTGGGTTCTTTTTGACTTCTACATATAAGATCATATCTGGGAACATAGATAATTTCAGTACTTTCCAATTTGGATGTCTTTTATTTCTTTTTTTGGTACCAGGGATCGAACTCAGGTCCTCACGCTTGCGAGGCAGGCGCCAGAACCACTGAGCTAAATCCCCGGCCCAGATGTCTTTTATTTCTTTTTCTTGCATAATTGTTCTGTCTAGAGCTTCTAGTACCATCTTACAAAGAAGTAACATAAACAAGTATCTTTTTCTTGCTTCTTACTTTGGAATGAAAACTTTCATACTTTACCAATGAATATTTTAGCTGTGGGTTTTTTATAAATTCATTTTATCAAGTAGAGAAATTTTCCATCTATCCCTAGTTGTTGAGTTTTTATTATGAAAGGATATTGAGTTCTTTTAAAAGCTTTTTTCCATTAGTTAAGATGGTCACATGATTTCTTTCATTTTATTATTACTGCATTCGTATGTGTATATTGAACTATACTTCCATTCTTGAGATAAATTCCCATTGGTAATAGTATTTAATCCTTTTACTATGCTGCTGGGTTCATTTTCCTCGAATTTTGTTGAAGATTTTTCTGTGTATATTCATATGGAATAATTGGTCTGAACTTTTATTTTGATGTCTTTGACTTTGTTATCTGGTAATAGTTTCCTCATAGCGTGAGTTAGGAAGTGTTTTGTGTCTTAGAGGAGTTTGAGAAGGATGCAATTCTTTAAAGTTTGGTAGAATTTACTCGGTGAAGTTATCTGATGCTGAATTTCATTGGGAAGTTTTTGATTAGTGATTCAGTATTTTATAGGCATATTCAGATTTTGTACTTCTTCTTGAGTCAGTTTGGTAGTTTATATGTTTTAAAGAATTCATTCTCAGTAATCCAATTTGTTGGCTTTTCATTGTTCACAATATTTGCATATAATTTTTATCTCTGAAAAGTCATTAGTAACGTCTTCACTTCCATTTCTAGTTGTTTTTTTTTGTACCGGGGATGGAACTCAGGTCCTTACACTTGTGCAGCAGGCGACAAAACCACTGAGCTAAATCCCCGGCCCATCCATTTCTAGTTTTAGTAACTTGAATCTTTGTTAGTATAGATATTATGTTAATTTTTTCCTTTTTAAAAAAACGTTTAGTTTCGTTGAACTTTTTCTAGTGTTTTTCTGTTCTTTGTTTTATCTCTGCTCTTATTTCCTTCTAGCTTTGAGGTCTGTTTTTTGCTCTTAATTTTTCTAGTTTCTAGTAAAAGGTTGGGCAGTTGATTTGCAGTCATTTTTAATGTGTTCGCAACTGTAAATTTCCCTCTGAGCATTGCTTTCATTGTAGCCCCTGCCTTCATTTCTTAGCCAAGCCAATTACAGTTGTGACTTAGCATTCACCTTTTGCTTGTGCTAAATCAAAGGTGAAAGTCTACCTCTAAGGTGAAAGTCTTCCAGTCTACTCAGATTTTTTTCTGAGTATATTCTCTGGCCTGGGTGTGTGTGTGGCTGTCTAGATGTCAGATACACAGAGAGGCTTTTCACTCCTTTATTCCCAAAGTGTTTTGCTCTTCAGCTTTGCCACCCAGGCGTGCCACCTTACTCATTTGTTGTGCCCTCAGGCACTCACCTTCTCCAAACAGGCCCCACCCCCTAAGGACCCGCTCAGTGGTAAACGCATCAGTGGCCGATCCATTGATGAGGTTAGTGTTCCCATGATCTGATCACCTTCCCACAGCCCCACCTCTGAACACACGAGCCTTTTGGGGTTCATTTTTACCCAGCCTGTAACACTGCTGTAAACTTTTAACCATCTCTCAAAGTTGTCATAAAGTTGATTGTGATGGTGTTTGCAAATTTTATCAGAATTTCTGGGGAGGAAAAGGCTCACCAGAGTTCCCTCTTCACCATTTTTGCTAATGTCACTCCAAAATGGGTTTTCTTTTTTCAGTGTAAGTTCTCTCTATTTCTGGCAGGTTTTTTGAGGTCCTTAGAAGGTTAGCAAAATCCTTACATTGCAAACCACATATTGTGTGTGCTTTTTTTCCTGAGGTGTTAGGATATCAGTGAGGTCCACAACTCTCTTTAAGTTTCAAGGATCACTACTGTAGAGGATTGCCTATTTAAATATTAATAACTAAAATATACAAATCAGACAGATAAAACATTTTTTTTTATAGAAACCTGTAAGTAGGTTAACTTCTTAGGAGGCTGAGAAGAAAACCTTGTTTGAGACACTCAGTTTCTTTGCAGATACAAGAGTTCTTTGCAAACTAAATAAAAAGTACTTAGAAACGCCTTGAACATTTTAGTCAAGCTACAGTGTTCCGGAATCGCGGAAAGAAATGCACAGAGACACAGACGTTGGGTAAAATAAAAAGTTTACTCGCAAGCAGGCAGGACTGCCAGAAACTGGTCTGGTCAGAGTCCGTGCCCTGTGTTCTTTGTCCATCACCTTTTATACTTTTGTCAGTCATTATCTCATCCCTAGTGGTCTTTGTTAAGTAAATAAAGTTCCATTTCCTGTTTAATGGTTAGACACAGGTGGTTTCTGTCACTGATTACAGTCCTAAACACATGACAGTTAAGGCACATACATCACAAGTTCATTCAACGATTCCCACTTTGTTCTTCAGAGCTAGGATGTTATTTATAATGGAGCTACAGATCAAAGCAGCTATAGAACCTTCACGTTAAAGAACAGAAGCAACGGGCTAAGGCAAGCTTTTAAAGGGATACAGTACCTATTTTGCTTTCACAACTACTTTAATAGCTAATCTGCTAACCTTACCTTAAAACTTTTCCCTGTCAACAACAGATTTGGAAAACCTGTGGGGGAAGAGTAAATATAAAATTTCTTCTTTTTTATCTATTCCCTTTGGCCTTCAAACTACAGATTTTTTTAAAGTGGAAATTTGTCCCTACTTAATTAAAGCCTGGGTAGAATTCTAGATGTGGTCATTTGTGTCATATTTTTAAAAATTTTGTTTTTTTTTTATTTTTTCCTGCCTTGACTGTATATTTAGATGTTAAATATATGTAGCCTTAAAACCATTAAAACATTTTTTGATGTAATGTAAGGTAATTTTGTGCTGGTGCCTGTTTTACCATGGGTAATTTTTGTTCTGCATTACAGTTCTTAATTTGTTTAGAGTTTTATTAGAGATAGTATAGTTATTATTAACAAAAGCAAAGTAATCTTACAAAATATTCATACAAAAGCAATACTATTTTGTGACTAAACATTTTTATTTTAAAATTTACATTAGCAACTGTGTTGAGGTTTCAGGGAAATAAGAGTGGAATTTAAAACTTCAGTTTTGTTAAACCTAGAAACATCAAATTAGTATTCCAAAGAAGTTCTGAAATTTCATACCTTGGGAAAATGATGGTACATTAAATCAAAATTGAGTATGGATGATCTTTTTTTTTTGGTACCGTGGATCGAACCCGGGACCTTGTGCTTGCGAGGCAGGCGGCGGAACCACTGAGCTAAATCCCCGGCCTGAGTATTGGATGATTTTAAAATAACATTTGACTTTTGAAAACAAAAAGAAAACTATATAAAAAAAAGTGCTTAGATATATAATTTGTTAAAAACAAAACATAAATAAAACTTCTTGTATCAGTGATCTTCATTAAATTTGACCCTGGATTTCATACTAATTGATATACGATATACTTTTGTGATTAAAACAAAAATAGTCTAATACTCTTTAAAGTACTTTGTGTAGAAATATGTAAATTTCTCATGACACCCATTATTTTTAAAGTGTTTCATGATTTAAGAATCTGTTCAGATCTTAGATTCAAAAAAAATAACTAATATTTTTTTTTTGTTTCTGAAAAATAGAATTGTTTTGTTTGTTTTTGATTTTTGAGGCAGGGTCTCACTATATGGTCCATGCTGTCCTTGAACTAGCTATGTACCCCAGGCTGGCCTCAAACTTGTGATTTTCTTACCTTGGCCCTCCTGAGTACTGGGCTTCAGGTGTGCACCACCATAGCCAGCAATAACATACATTTTTAAAGATTCTTTTTTCTCTTTCACTAGATGGACTATTGTGTATTATGATTGAAAATAGCTGAATAGGAGAATGAATGTAAAATGACAATTCCTTTTTTCTTTTTCTTGTTTCTTGACAGATTGTTAACAAATTCAAACAGACTTACAACAACCAGAAATGCTGTATGGGCCCTTTCAAATTTATGTAGAGGCAAAAACCCTCCTCCCGACTTTAGTAAGGTATGAGTAGAATACAAAAATTAAGAAATCTGTATCCATGAACTTTTAAGTCTCTTTATAGTAGTTTTTTTTGAAGCAAAGGAACTCTGTGTTTTGATAGTAATTATTTTCTTGACTAGATAGCATTTGCACATTCATGAAATTCAAAAGCTTTAAAATAAAAGAGAAATTTTGCTTCTCTTCTAACCCTTGAATTCCTCTGCCCAGAGGCAACCACTATAACCAGATGTTTGTGTATCTGGGAGTTGAAATTAGAAATCTTCTAGACTAATTCTTTTCATTTACAGGATATTGAAGCCCCTCTCCCCAAAACAGATTAAGAATACAGTGTTGATTGTAAAACTGAAAATGTGAAATGGCACAGATTCTCTAAGTCTGGAACTTACCAAGAGATATAAATGTATGTCTGTAGAGAGACCTCTATGTAAGTATTTGTGGCAGCTTTATTCATAATCAATACTGGAAAGAGTACAGAAGTACATTACTTGGTGTGTGTGACACAAGCCACTATTGATAAGAGGAAACAAACTCTGGTTAATTTCAAAAGCATTCATGTAAATAAAAGGAGCCACGCGCAAATGCTGTATCTTGTATGATATTTTGGAAAAGACCAAGCTATAACAATAAAAATTAGATTACTGGTTGCCTGAGAGAGGAAATTGACTACAAAGGGGCAGAAGGGAAATTTTGGGGATGATAGAAAAGTACTCTGCATTTTTGTTGCATGTTGGCCATGCAGCTATATTCATTTGTTAGTATGAACTGATGTAAGTAAAAAGAAAAACACTGAATTATTTACCTAAAGAGAGTTCAGTTTTACTGTATGGAACTACTTCAGTAAACCTGATTTATTTTTAAAAAGTCACCTTTCAAAAAGAGAAATGAGATGTTTAATCCTTAGATCATGGATCAAAGTAAATTTTTTTTTTTTTGGTACTGGGGAACAAACTCAGGACCTTGTGCTTGCAAGGCAGGCGCCGGAACCACTGAGCTAAATCCCCAGCCCATCAAAGTAAATTTTTAGCATAAAAAATTGAGTGATTTATACCTTAGATCATAATATTACATCAATGTTGGGCCGGGGATTTAGCTCAGTGGTTCCGCCACCTGCCTCGCAAGCGCAAGGTCCCATGTTCAATCCTCGGTACCAAAAAAACAAAAACAAACAAACAAATAATATATCAATGTTAAATTTCTTGGCTGTGATGCTTATGTTGGACGGAAAAATACGTGTATGTGTTTATATATATGGGAAAAGTGCAAATGTAGCAAAATGTTAACATCTGGATCTAGGTGAGTAACATGAGTGTTGATTGTAGTCTGTTTGCAAATTTTCTGTAGGTTTGAACTTTTTCAAAATAATATACTGGGGAAGGAAATGTATCACCTCCCCTGATAGCATCTGCTCTACAGTACTGTTTGTCACCTTGTTTACTGCGGTAACCTTCTAAAAAAATCTTGCTTCCTCTTTGCCCCAACATAGTTTCTATTCCAAAAAACCAGCCAGAATGATTGTTACTGTATCATTTATACCATACCTTTCTTCACAACCTTGCAATGACTCCTTAACGTTTTCATCAAAGAAAAGGTTTTAAAAGTCCTACAAGAATTTCATCACCTGGCCCTTCTGTTATCTTTCTGATTCATCTTTTTCTGTTTTCCGTTTCACTTAACTATTGGGTCGTACTGGTCTGCTTGCTGTTTCCCAGAGTCACAAAGCATGGTCTTGACTTTGCTCTAGCTCTTCCCACTACCTGGAACAGTGAATAGCTCTTAAACTATCTGGTCTTGGGGCCAGGGATTTAGCTCAGTGGTTCTGGTGCCTGCCTCACAAGCGCAAGGTCCCGAGTTCGATACCTGATACCAAAAAAAAAAAAAAAATCTGGTCTTGAAACTCCTTTCTACTCTTAAAAATTATGAAGAATTAAAGCCTTTGTTTCTGTGATTAGTATCTAGTGATACTAGATTAAAAATTAAAACAAAGAAAACTTGAAATACTTATTAATTTAAAATAATAACAAACCTATTACATGTTCAATAACTTTTTTTTTTGTACCAGGGATCGAACTTGAGTCCTTGCGCTTGCGGGGCAGGTGGTGGAACCACTGAGCTATGGGCCAGGGATTCAGCTCAGTGGTTCTGCCGCTTCTCCTGCAAGTGCAAGGACTGGAGTTTGAGCCCCAGTACCAAAAAAGAAAAGAAAAAAAAAAACCCTAAAAATTTTGTAAGCAGAGTTGCATTGATTCACATTTTTACATACCTTTAATATCTTTGAGACAGAAACCAGGGCTCATTTTCCCTCTGAATCCAGTTTGCTGCATTGTATTGTTTTAGTTGAAATATTTAAAATCTTTTCAGATAATCATGGTTATTTTTTGATACTGCACCAAAACATGAGTAGTAATTTCTTTAAAGTTAGTTTTATTAAATAGTCAAATATCCTGCCATTAAACTTTGTGCACTGTTACATTAAAATCCATCAGTCTTATCTTGTATTTTGAATGGATCTTTTTCTCATGTATGACTTTGAAACATTATGCCTTTGTCATTTGGAAGGTGTGTTCCACTAAAGTACTCACCTCTTCCAAATGCTGACACATTTCATCATACGATATATATTTTTAAATGAAAGTACCACTACTAGTATTGGGAAATGTCAAACTTAATGGTAGAAGGTCCAATTTTTCCAAAATTCTAACTTTTTAAATCTGAAAATTTATCATTGGCAGAAAATACAGTTATTTTTCTTGAAATGACAGACTCACTTTATTTATATTTTTGAGTGTCCTTCAGATACCTACGACTGGATAAAGATTAATAGTCTTTCGAATAAAAATAGTGCGTTATGGGGAAAATTGGCTAATTTGCAGCTCATGCATTAAATATGTTCTTGCAGAAAACTACCCAAGTACTGTACTGCTGTGTACAGATGTGCTTTATGTGTATTTCCCTTCTCATCTCATAAAATACTCAAAAGACATGAACTCCAGAATTGAGATTTAATGAAATCAGTAATTCTTACTGCTTATTTGAGGTAGTTCTTAAGTAAAAGGGTCTGCCTCTCTTTCTCCCTCCTATCCAGCCCTTTTTTTGGAGGTAAATAATACAAAAATCATTTTGGTACTGCTTGCTTGCATTGTGCTAAGGTGCCAACAGTTTTACTCACCATTATTTTGTACTTTCAGTGTAAATCTCAGCAGAGTAAAAAAAGATGAGCTATATCTTAGTATCACTGTTAAAATAATTTTGATATCACTTACCCTCTAAAAGGGTTTTCAGGCCTCCTGAGCTCTTGGACCAGACTAGGAGCTGCTGGCCTATTCTTTCTGTCGCTAGCTACTTGAATGATTCCCTCATCTCCTTTAAGTGTTTATAAAGAAGATTTGTATCCCATGAGCTGTGAGTTTTCCTGACACCCTATTTTACTGTAATTTTTCCAAATCACTTTTTAACATAATATTTATTTTTTTACTTATTATGTATATTAATATAAAATAAAGATTCCAGTAAAATGTAAACTCCTTACAGGCAGAAACTGATGTCTCTCATGTTTACTTATATGTTCCAAACTTATGGAATAATCACATTATAGAGTTTAAGGCTTATTTGATAAATTTTCTATGACTTTATATGAGAGTTTCCAATTATCAGCCACCTTTTAAGAAATTTATTTCTACAGTTATATATTTTCAAGACTTATTTCTTTTGTTCTCTGTTTGCCTGTGCATATAGAATTCTGCTCTTTGTCTAGTAAATTGTCTTATCTATCTGAGGATTTATAGGGTTTCAAAAAAGTTTTTTTCTTTTTCTAGTGTCTGTTTCTTATGATAATCCTTCATTCTTTCAGGCAGCTTTAGGAAGCTGATTGGACGTATGGGTGGGGGTTGTCATCTCTGGGCTTCATAGTAGGGTAATGGGCAGTGTGTATTAGTCAGCTTTCTTGTCATAGAGACTCAACAGCTGACATCCACAGTTTAAGGAAGAGAGGTTTAATTCAGCTCATGGCTTTAGAGGCATTCAGACTGTGGTTGGCTGGCTTCGGGGCAGGAACATCATGGTGAAGGGCATGGTAGAGGAAACCAGCTCACTCTGGCACTCTGGAAGCAGGGATATAAATGAGAAGCTGGGGAGGGAGATAAGCCTTCCACAGACACAACCCTAGGGACACATCTCTTCCAACTGCCCCAATAGCACATTAACTATGAATTCATTAGTAGATCAGTGTGTTGCACTTATGATTCATTCACTTTCCAAAAGGTCCACATCCAAATATATGACTTTTGAGGGACATTTTGGCTCTAAACCATGACAAGCAGCAAAACTATATTTTTCTTGTGGAACTCCAAGTTTCGGCCTCTTGTTCCATTGTATTTTTCCAGAGACAAATTTTCCATTCTCTTGCTAGAAGGTGGGCAGATTGGATTACAGTATGCAGTAGATGATGTACTTAGTTTCTAGAGATCCGGAAACAGCATTGGAAAGTGGTGATAGGTTTCACCCATCAGTATGCAGACTTTTACTAAATTGTACTAATTTCTGCTCACTCTCTCCATTTCATCCTCCACTTTGCCTAATATCCTATTCAGTTTCATCATGTTTTGTTCTTCAGTTTCTTCTTAAACCTTCAATCTTTGGTAGCATTGAGAATGCTGGTCACCTGCAATGTGTAGTAGGCACCCAGAGCCTAATCTTTGTACTCGATTTGTAATCTTTAGCTCTATTTTAGCACTATCTCCCCTGCCATCTGTGATACCTGAGGCCTCTGATTTCTAAGGCATATTGGGATGGTAGAGGTGGAATAGGTAGTGTGCAATTCCCTCTTCAGCCTTTTAGGGCTCAACTTTCCCTAAGTGCATTTCTGTCTAAGTTAGTTCAGTTTCTTTAATTATTTTAATCTTCATGTATTTTGAGCAGGAATATAAATAACAGCTAGTCTCTTCAAAGATGGAATTTGCATTTGTTTCTTTTTTTTTCACAAAGCTAGAAATCTAGGACTTTTT